CTGATGTAAATCTAATAGGTCTATAATTACTGGGACAATTTTTAACACCTCCCTTGAGTTACATTAGTTAACTTCCAATCCTATGGTACCTGCCCACTATTCAAGGACTGACAAAAAAATAATAGCAAGTGGCTCACATATCCAATCTTTAACCTCCTTCAAAACCCAGGAGCCTTATCATTCTTTAAACTTCCCAATTTTTTCTTAACCAGCTCAGAATTAATGCAGTCATCTTGTTCAATCTCGTTCCCATCTATCAACTGTTCAAGATGTGGAATACTGCTTTAATCTTTGTTAGTAAAAACTGAAGAAAAAGCAAACTTTATTAACCCAGCTATCTCATAATCACCAGATATGAGCCTTCCTTTATCATCCCTCAAGGGTCCTATCCCCATCCTAACATTTTGTTTACCCTTAATGTATCTAAAGAAATCCTTACTGTTAATTTTTATATTTTCAGCTAACCTTTTCTCATAAATCCTTTTTGATGTCCTAATTTCCTGTTTCACCAACTTTCTTTATCTTCTAAAATCTCCTGTCATACCAGTTAATTTAAATTTCTTAAACTTATGATGCTTTTCTTTAATATTATCTCTTATACTCTTTGTGAGCCAAACTGTTTTTTTACTTGCAGCTACCCTTTTCTTTCTGTAAGGAAAATGTTTACTTTGAATATTTAAAAATCTATCTTTAAAATTTTCCACATCTGATCAGTGTCTCCAAATAATTCAGCTGCCCAATTCACAACAGATAATTCTTGTTGCATCCCTTTAAAATATGCCTTTTTGAAATTTATAGTCAAAATATTATTCCTTATCTCCACATGTAGCAAAACACTAAATCTAATACAGCAATGATCACTTGCGCCCAGATGTTCCCCAATTTCCACCTTCTTGATCATTTCTATATTTGAAGTTAACAATAATTCTAAAATAGCATTGTTTCTTGTAGATTCCTTGACTAATTGGTAAAGAAAGCCATCTTGAACCAGTGTTCTATAGTTGTGTCTGTCCGCTGCTGTCAACTGTCCAAGTACTTCCAGTGGTTGTCCC